GAAAAACAGTGTTTGAGAAATATCAAGACCAAACTTCAAACTTTATTATAAAGCCATAATTATATATATTATATGCTATATAGTATATACAATTATATATATATATATATATATATGAGTATATATGAGTGTGGCACTGGCACATGAACAGGCCTGAGGATGGATGTAGTAGAATTGGAGACACAGAAATTAAGTGACAGACCTGTATCCACCTAATCTATGATAAGGGAGCCAAAAACACAGGATGAAAGACAGTCTCTTCTATCCTTATATATTACCCTGCACCAGAATAAATTCCAAATGGATCAAAGACATCAACGTAAGACCAGATGACCTGAAAATATTATAAGAAGTAGCAGGGGAAACACTAGGGCTCCGTGGCACGGGGTTAAACTTCCTAAGTAAAGATCCAGAAACACAACATATCAAAGAAAGGATAGGTAAATGAGATCTCATTAAACTGCAGAGCTTCTGAATGGCAAAGGACATAGCTATCAAGATAAATAGAAAGCCCACAAACGGGGAAAAAATCTTTCTAGCTATACAACAGACAAATCCCTCACATCTAAAATATACTTAGAGCTCAAAAAATTAACCCTTCAAAAAACAAGTCCTCAAAGAAACAACTACCTCATTAATAAATGGGATAAAGAATAAAAGAGAGACTTCTCTGAAGAGGAAATAAAGATGTCCAATAGACACATGAAGAAATGTTTAACATCTCTGGCCATAAAAGAAATGCAAACCAAAACTACATTGAGATTCCACCTCATCCCAGTTAGAATGGCCATTATCAAGAAAATAAAAACTAAGAGATGCTGGCTTATATGTGGCCCAAATGGAATGCTGTTACACTGTTGGTGGGAGTGCAAACTATTTCAACCACTCTGGAAAACAATATGGAGCTTCCTCAAAAGACTAAACATAAAGTTCCCCTATGATCCAGCAATTCCACTTCTGGGCATTTAACCAAATGACCACAAACCAGGTCACACTAAACCTAGTAGCACAACTATGTTCATTACCATAGCTAAGATATGGAACCCAGATGTCCAGATTTCCCTCAGGAGATGAATAGATCAAGAAAATGTGTTATACATGTACAGTGGAATTTTATGCTTCTATCAAAAAGAATGGCATCGACCCATTCATAAGTAAAAGGAAAGATTTGGGAAAAAAATCCTATTAAGTGAAGTTAATCAGACCCAAAGAAACATAGGCACCATGGTTTCCCTCAATTGTAATAATTAGTATATGTCTAGGGTTGTCCTAGCAGAGAATCACAATAGTTCAGTAGTTATGTAAGATGATGATATAAAATTAATAAAATGTTTACATAGGGATACAGGTTGACCTATTATAACAATGAGATTTAAAAAACACTATGTTGAAAACAAATGTTACAACTTAGGCAGGGCATTGGGGGGGTGGGTGGGAGGGGAATGGAGTATGTGGGGAGGTGGGGAAGGGAGGGATGGTAGGGGAAAACAAAGGAAGAGGCATCAATGCTCAATAGGAAATGTACTAATTACCTTACTCATGTAACTGTAACCCCTCTGTACAGTATTTTTACAACAAAATGTATAAAAATATCAACATTAAATAATTCTCAAAAAAATTATGCTAATTGAAATGAACTTGAAGATTTGGAAACAAGAGGCCTGTGGGGTGTGTGTGTGTGTGTGTATTATTTGCAATCATTTTTTTCTTTCATTTTTTCCCTTTGATTTATTCCCTGTTGTCACTGTTTTGGATTTCTATACGCTTTGTGTATATATACATCAATCTGAGGAGGGAATGGGAATCACAGTAATACTTGGCTAAAGGAGAAAGGGTAAACCAATATAACAGCAAAATTCACAAGACACTATGTTGGAAATAAACTTTACAACTTGTGGGGGAGGGGAGTAGGGAAGGAGGGAAAGTGAAAGAAAATGAGGGAGGACGTAATCTTGTTTGGAATAAAAATGTAGTCATTGCCTTACTTGTGAAACTGTACATAAACTTTATAACAAAATAAAATTTAATTTAAAAAATTGTAAAAGAAATACAAAAATCCACCAAAACACAATCACTTATGTTTAAAGTAAATTTGTTTTTGACTATAAAAGTCACTGAAAAGGGAAATTATTTAAGTCATTTAAATATGGAGAAATTTGAGGAGGTTAACATTCTTTTCCACATTTAATATTTGATGTATGTATAGTTATTTCAACAAAATGTTACATTATTTTGTTTTAATAAATGACAAAATTGTATTTTTTAATGAATGAACTTACAGTTAGAAAAATCAAGAGATTTGAAAAGAATTATATTGACTTAAGGAATTGGAAATATCTTCCATGTTCCTACATGGGAATAATTCACACTTTAAAAATGGCAATATTGCACAAAGCAATCCATAAATTCATTGCATTATCGCTCAAATCCCCAAAACATCCTTGAGGGACATAGAGAACACAATCCAAAAATTTATATTGAATAACTAAACACCCCTAATAGAAAAAGCAATCCTAAGCAGGTAGAACATTGTTGGAGGAATAACTAAACCATATTTTAAAGTATGCTACAAAGCCACAGTCATGAGAACATTTTGATACAGGCACAAAAATGGACCTGATTGTCAATGGTACAGAATAGAAGACCTAGAAATTAACCCACAGAGCTATTGATATCTACTATTCAATAAGGAATATTCAATAAGGCTGGAAAAAGACAGCATCTTCAACAAAGGGTACCTGCAAAACTGCATATTTACATGCAAAACAATTCCCAGAAATGAGATCCTTATTTATCACCTTGTACTGAATAATCTCAAAATGAATCAAAGACCTCAATCTAAGCCAGAATACATGAACCGATTATAACAAGGGGTTGGGGAAATACTAGGGCTACAGATCACAGGTGGAAAATTTCTAAGTAAAGATCCAGAAACAGAACAAATCAATGAAAGACTTGATAAATGGGATTGCATCTAATTTAAAGGGTTTTCCATGGTGAAAGACATAACTAACAGGCTAAATAAATAGCCCAGAGATTGGAACAGAACTTAGAAAGTGGCAAAAATTCCCATGCTCCTGGATTGGAAAGATCAACATCGTGAAAACGGCAATACTTCCCAAGGTTATCTACAAACTTAATGCGATACCCATCAAAATTCCAATCTCATTCTTCAAGGAAATAGAAGAGGCAATCCAAAAATTCATATGGAACAATAAAAGACCCCGAATAGCAAAAACGATCCTCAACAGAAAGAACAGTGCTGGAGGAATATCAATACCAAATTTCAAACTCTACTATAAAGCCATAGTAATCAAAAAACCTTGGTACTGGCACAAGAACAGACCTCAGGACCAATGGAATAGAATTGAAAACCCAGAAATGAACCTACAGACCTATAGCTATCTAATCTTCGACAAGGGAGCTAAAAAAATAGAATGGAAGATTTTTATCAGCTATCTGTCAGACAAAGATCTAATATCCAGAATATACTAGAATCTTAACAAAAATTATATCCTTATAGACATCAACCCAATTAATAAATGGGCTAATGACTTACAGAGGGATTTTTAGAAGAAAAATAAAACTGGCCAATACAAAAAAAAATATTCAACCTCTCTGGCCATAAAGGAAATGAAAATAAAAACTACACTGGGATTCTGCTTCACTCCAGTAGAATGGTCAATATAAGAAAATAAACAGTGATAAATGCTGGCAAGGACACAGCCCAAAGAAAAACATAATAAAATATTTAGTGGGAATGTAAGCCCATTAGCTCATTCTGGAAAGCAGTATGTAAGATCCTCAAAAAACTAAATATAGGAATACCCTTTATAATCCAGCAAAATTCTGCTGCTGAGCATTTATCCAATAGAGCACAAACAAGGTTATAACAAAGCCATCAGCACAATCATGTTTATTTCAGTACAAATTACCATATTCAAAATATGGAATAAATCCTGATGCCCCTCAATGGATGAATGGATCAAGAAAATGTGGTATATATACACAATGGAAATGTACTCATACATTAAGAGGAATGATACAGTACTGTTCATAAGGAAATGGAAAGACTTGGAAACAATTCTACTAAGTGAAATAAGCTAGACCCAGAGATACACGGGTTGCATGGTTTCCTTCATTTGTGGTAAACACATTGGGTGGTAATGCAAGTCATCAAGAAGGAATTAACTGTAATATAATGGATTCTATTCAGAAATGTTAGGTATCTCACCCAGATAATGCATACCACATAGGTCCAAAAGGAGAGGAAAAGTTTAATGCCAGGAGACTGGCAGGCTGACTCCATCAAGAAAAAAAGCAGCAGCAGTCATTAAGTTAGGGAGTGGTATTTATAGGGAAGCACCCTGAGAGAAGATGAGGGACTGGGTGAGCAAGAAGCAGAGCCAGAGCAACCTTGAGACACAGACAGCCAGCCACTGAAGTGTCACAGAATGACTTCATCCCAGCTCACAATCTCAAGTGGTATATTTTGTTTTTTAGAATTATTAGGTCAATGCTCAACAAAATAAACACCAGGATATGTGTAATTACCACCTAGGGTGTGGCCAAAGGGAGAGGAGAGATGAATGAGGAGGGGAGGAAGGGGAGAATGCAGTCAAGAATTTGTTGCACATACTACAAAATTCAGAAAACAGAGGGAAAGGGCCAGTTGAAAGGAGGTGAGTGTGTTAAAGGAGTGACTCTGATCAAGACATGTTATATTCATAAACTGCTTTATTAAGTGGTACTTGTACAACTGCTTTAAAATTCAAAAAAGAAAATAGTCTTTAAAAAGTCTTCTGCAATCAAATAAGGAATGCATTTCTCTGTAGGCAAATGTAATCTGTATTTTTACCTGGGACATCTGTACATGCTAAGCCTGTGGTGAGCTACTACCCAGCCCTTCTCATTTGTTTATGCTCAGAGCACAGCCCATTGTCCTGAAGACTTCTTAGGCTGCTCACATTCAGGACAGGAGTCAGTCCCAGTCAGCACACAGCATGAACATGAGGACTCCTGGTCAGCTCCTTGGGCTACTACTGCTCTGGCTTCCAGGTAAGGAAGGATCACACTGGGAATTATGCTAGGTTCAATGTGTTTGAACACTGATTCCTGGTATTTGTGAGACTCTCTTACAACATATTTGTATGGATATTTGTTATATTTCCTATGCCAGGAGCCAGATGTGCTATCCAGATGACCCAGAGTCCACCCTCCCTATCTGCATCTCCAGGAGACAGAGTCTCCCTCACATGCAGAAGCAGTCAAAACATTTACAACAGGTTAAGCTGGTATCAACAGAAACCAGGAGAATCTCCTAAAATCCTGATCTATGGTACAAACAATTTAGAATCTGGGATCCCCTCCAGATTTAGTGGCAGTGGATCTGGGACAGATTACTCTCTCACCATTAATAGCCTGCAGCCTGAAGATGTTGCCACTTATTACTGTCAACATAGTTATGGTTATCCACCCACAGTGATATAAGTCATTACATAAACCTCTGAAGAAGCAGAAGTGAGAGGCTGGGTTGTCAAACAGGCACTAAAGGAAGAATTCTCTGCAACCTAGCACTCTGTCCTCCTTAGCCACCGCCAAAATTATGACATTGAGTCTCTGATTGAAGAGTGGAAATCAATCTTTTCATACTAGGAGTTTCCATAAATTATTTCAGACATTCTATTTTGTTAAATGATGGAATAGGTTATTATTAGCTTCATAAGGGAAAGTAAAACATCTGCTCAAATAAAAATTATCTCAGTTTCTATGTTATTTATCTATGTATTAAAGAATCAACAAAACGTTTTATATTTGCCACTGCTCTTGTCCACACCCATGTCTTCCTCCCCTTGACATGCATATTTGTGTTAAGTGCATGTTGGATTTTCTACTTCACACATATCCAGCCCACACAACAAAAACCATTTCCAAAGTCTCTTCTTCAACCATTATAAAATTGCTATTCCCTGTCTCATTCAAGCTAATCTGGATCTAGAGCTTAGGAACTTTTCCGTGATTTCTGTTGATATCAATATGTTAGCTTGTATCCATATCACTCAACAATCAACTGGATGAATAATTAAAACCTCCAATTCAATTGGCAATTCCAGTGTTTCTTTACTCTTTTCACACTCATTTTTCAGCTTTTTGAAACTAACAATTTATTTCCATTCTTTCTGGCTTGTGGAAGCTTGATCATGAATAAATCTTGGTTCTCTTACAATTTATCACCTACTATTGAGATAATCATATAGGGTGTTTTTTTGTTCTTAATTCTGTCAGAATGATGAATTACAGAGGTCAGAGATCTCATTTAAAAAATCTTCTACTTGTGAAATATGTTCATTTTGATCAAGATCAATTATCTGAAATGGAGAAGAAAATAGGAGAATGAAGAAGAAAAACCACGAAGAGAGGACAAAGGAGGAAAGAAGAAAAAAGGAAGAAAGGAACAAACACAATTATTTTATTTACTTCCTTGAAATCTCAGTGTGACTCACTTGTCAATTGTTAAATGGAATTTTTAATTTAATCTTTTAATTATTAATTAAAAATTACTTTTTAAAAAGGGAAGGGTAAGAGCGTGTGAATATGATAAAACATGGTATACAAATGTGTAGAACTGTCATCAAGTTACCCAATGTGTATAATTTTATGTACAAAAAATTACTTGCTCCTCTTGGCTAATAATTTTTTTTGGTTGTGGAGCCTGAACTCTGGGCCTGGGCACTGTCCCTCAGCTCTTTATATCAAGGTTAGTGCTTGACCACTTTAACCACAGGGCCACTTCCAGCTTTTTCTGCTTATGTGATACTCAGGAATCAAACCCAGGACCTTATGCATGCAAGGAAAGCACTCTACCACTAAGCCAACTTCCCAGCCCCTCTTGGCTATTTTTAAGAGAAAATGCACTTGGAAGAGTTATCAGGTTCCACATAGATACAAAGACAAAAATGCAACAAAAGCCAAAATTATTTACCGTAACAAATATAACACTTAATCATAATATAAGCTCTCAATCACTTACTCATTAGCCAAAAAACAAAGCTTGAATCCCAACATTTAAAAATCCAAAATAGAAGGCTTAATTCTGCATAATATTGATTTTGCTTCCAATCTTCTCCTTTTCTGCCTTATTATATACCTTCTGTGACCTAGGTCTAGGGGCTTTCGAGAAAATGATTTCCATCATCACTGTAACTTCAACCTTGATAAGAGACAAAGTATTTACCTAGCTCAGCAACCTCATGACTTTATCTTTCTATTTTTTTTCTTGTCCTGGAGTTTGAACTCAGGGCCTGGGCTCTGTCCCTGAGCCTTTGTGCTTAAGGCTAGTGCTCTACCACATAGCCACAACACTGCTTCCAGTTTTTTCCTGAGTAATTTATTGGAAATAAGAGTCTCATGGACATTCCTGCCTAAGCTGAATTTGAACCACAATGCTTAGATCTAAGCCTTCTGAGTAGTTAGGTTTAAAGGCATAAACTACTGGTGCTCAGCTCATCTTTGTGTTCTGATGTCACCAATCATTTTTGTAGGTTAATAGAATGAGTCTCCATTTGTTAACTGCACTTTTAACAGGAGTTGTAAATGTGAACAAGGACCAAACTCCTAACCAAACTTTCCTTGCTGGATGAGGCTGATAGCTGCAATCCAGCTTCTCCAAACTCAAAAAGTCACTTTTTTATTGTGAAAATACCATACAGAGGTATTACAATTACATGGACAAGGTAATGAATATATTTCTTATCAAACATTGTTGTCTCCTCCTTTGTTTCCCCTTCCCATCCCTTCCCATCTCCCCTCCTCACCAACCAAAGTTGTAAAGTTCATTTTTTGACATAATGTCTTGTACATCTCATTGCTACAATGGATCCACCTGAATTTGTTTTTTCCCTTCCCCTCCACAAATTATACCAACATCAAATAGAGGGAAAACAAGGGTTATACCATGGGGGAGGGACATAAAAAGCAACAAGGAAATATCTTATACATATGTTAGAAACACTATTTTTAATGAAAAGCCAATATACATGCTATACAAATGATGTTTTCAGGACAGAAGGGAACCTTACTGCATT